ATAACACTCTATACTCAAGGAAACAAATATTTAAAAATAGTAATTCTTGAGAATGTCAGCATTGTAATTTTAAAACACTTATGGCAGTAGGAAACCAAAGGACAGGCTCCTCCTGTCCAGGTCTTTTCAGAACTGAGATGCTTGGCTGTCACCAAGACTTTCAGGTATAGAGTAAGACACAACCAAGTCTTCATTAATTTAGAAAGTCTAAAATAAAACAGAGTAAAGCAAAGACAGTCAGGGAAAATAATAAATATTGCCAGCCCACAGAAAACTGTTAAGTCATTCATACCTGACTATCAGAAATGACATGAACTCTAATCTTTCAGCACTAACTATCCATGGCTTTTTAAAAAAATTCCACTTTGCAGACCAGAAAATAGAGAGATTAAGCAGCATGCTATTGGAGGCCCAGATGAGCTTTAAAGCTTTTCTCCTAGAATTGTGGCCCACATCCGCTAGGACACTGTCAACCTCCAGGTGACCCACATCTGGCTTGCTCCAGGGAACCAGCTCCAATCATTCACTCGTGTGGCAAGTGCTCACTGAGGGTGGCATGTTAAGTTCCTGCTTTTGATCTTAAGGACATTCCTTTTTAGTAAGAGAAGAAAGGAATGTCCACTGGTGGAAATAAGAACAAAGTAGCTGACAGCTCTGAGGTGTCATGTTTGAAGTTGCACAGGGTTTAGCCAGGGTCTCCACATAGCAGGAAGACCAGGCTGGGACCTTCCACGCCAACCCCACACATACTCTGGTGATTGTCACCTTTCTCAGCAGCCACACTGCTCTCAGAGCTCCTGCTGCACAGCTCACTCTTGAAATTCGCTGGTAAATTTTCCTCCGAACTTGCAACATTTACTTCTTAGTTAACCCAAACACAGGAGTTTACATTTATCCCCATTAAATCTCAGCTTGTTAGTTTTGGCCCATTGATCCAAACTGCTGAAATCTTCATAATCCAGACAGCCTTGTGGGACACAGTTATCCCTCACCTTTGCATTGCCAGGAAATGTGGGCAGGGCACCTTTGTATGTCTTCATAGAGATGGCTGATAAATCACGGGCCAGGATGAAGCCAGGCACACAGTCCCAAGGCCACTAGGAGTAGCAGTAGTCCAGCTGTGCAGAACCGTCTGGGACAGTGGGTTAGTGTGCTCTGGAGAAGCACTTTGCCACCTTCCAATCTATCTAATGCCATCTGCACCCTGACCACACTGCTCTGTTCTGTACATGACAGCCTGAGAGATTGAGAGGTTACCTACACTAAATGTCTTACGCCCAGTGTTTGACAATTTTTAAGTGGCCTTCCTGCTATTGTTCTTGAGTAAGTGAATATGAATTAAATTTGCACCTTAAAAGATGCCTGGAATTGCTTCAGACAGAAAAAAAATCAATGTTACAGTTTTTCTAACCCAGACACACCCCAAATATAAATCTGCAGATTGCAGACTTCCCATGGCAACTGCCTTCAATCAGAGACAGGAACAGGACTTGCAAACAGAATGCTCACTGAGGTTGAAAGATGTAGGGAGTGTGATCTACTGCCCTCACTTTTAATTATCCTAAACTGGAAAAACGGATGTCTAAGCTGGCCAGCCTGTCCCATAAAGCATTTTGATCAAAGATGCAGTTTCACCACGCACCTGTCTGAGGAATGGCCAGAGAGTCCGCGGGGATCCTGCAGAGTTATGGAAGTTATAAACCTGGTCCCTGTAGTCCCATAGGCAGACAGCTACACTGTGAAAAATATTGCTCAGGGGAAGCTTTGCATTTCTTTAAACATTCAATTATAGCTATACAAATACAGATTTTAAGTGAATAGCAGATCTTTGCACAAATTAGGGATGCTAGGAGGCGAATAAAATAGATTCTCTCAAACAACTATTTAATAAAAATGCAGTCTTGCTCCATGAAGAATTGGTTTACTATGGAAGAGTTTCTGAGTAGGGATAATTAGGTGATTCTCTTTCAGCATTAGCTTCAGATTATACCTGTTATGATTTAAGAGGCTGAGTCCACTTTTATTTAGGTTTTAATTTTTATGCAAGTTTTCACTTAGAACAGATTTCTGAAAATTCAAAGATTCCATATTCAATAGGTAGACCTTTCTTGTCCTTCAAAAGTTGCTGGAGGCTTTTCAAAGGTCTGTTTTTCTTTTATGAATTGTAAACAGTAATATTTTCCTCTTTTCAACTATTTCCAAGGTTTTACAACATTTTGCTTTCAAACTAAAAAGTGTTTTTCCTAAAAGTCATATTTTCTTTTTGTAAAACGTTAATAAAATAAAAAAGTTTTCTATAAGCTTATATTCAGTTATGTCATGCTTATGATTTTAAAATAAAAACTAGGCAATATAGGAAATATTTTCTAACATTTTATTTACATTGATTATACAGGATTTTAATAACAAACATCATCTTTAATTACTGCATAGTATTGTTTCATAGCCATGCCATAATTTATTGAGTCAATCTTCTATCAAGTCTTAATTAAAATATTCTGCAAGGAACATCTTTGAACACTGACACCCAGTCTGTAGGCACTGAAGCAGGTACCAATCACAGATTATGTAAATTTAAAAAATTATACACTGGATTATTTACCTTTTGTGTCTGACAGCATTAAAAGCTAGCAGCATAAAGGCATTTCACTGTATTTATGCAATTGCAGATTTTCTTTTCTATTGATTGCCGGAAATGAGTGGTCTGTTTACAATACACACATAATTTGTTTAGGAAAAAAGTGAAGCATTTTGAGACATATATTATTAAAATAGTAATACTTGTATATTCTAACTATACCACTGCTAACACAGTGGAAACCTTAAATTTGGTATGAGTAATGTAAATAAAATAAAGCTATACAATATCATATGAACACAATTAAATACTTTCCTTATATTTTTGGAATGTAGGCTGAAAGGGAAGTTGGGAAGAGAAATAAATCACAAGAGATAGTTTTATGTTTTCACCTTTTCTAATTTTAAGATTATCTTATAAAAGGATTGGAGGAGAGTAAAGATGCCTTTTTAAATGATATTTTATACAAATTAGCCATTGTCTAGTTGTCTAGTTGTCAACACATATTGCACTCTCTGCAGTAATGTAAGGTAAATCATTTTCAGAGGGAACTAGGAACAAGGCTATTAAACCGCTTTACAAACGCAGAGAACCATATGGGCTGTAAGAAATCATTTCTAAATTGAAAGGCACGCTCATTATAAAGCTAAATAAAGAACTATATAAGGATATATGAAGAAAGATATATCCCAGCTCACAAAGACTATGAGATTGACTACAGAGACAAAAAAGAAAAGCTCTTATCAGTAAGAAAATACTAATGTTCACCATAATATTAACCAAAGTTATGTTTAATGGCAGGGATACATTTTTTGTCGTCCCCCCCCCAGCTAATGTTTGATTGTCTGCTGAGGAACACATTCTTTTCATAGCAAAAGCAAATGACTTAAGCATCTTATTGTCTTTTTCTGCCCTTCAACCTGCAGTCATTAACGCTAGCCATGAAGTTTAGCATCAGTCTCCCCTGTGATGGGTACTACGTCCTGCCAACAGCCTAATAACAGGAACAGTTGTGGCACAGAGACCTCTCCAACCAGCTGCCAATAATAACACCCAACTAGGGTGTGTGCCACCACCTGAAGCCTTTCTTTGGCTCTTTCAGAGAATACCTAATTTTCTTCAGGGACATATTTTCAAAACCATACAGCCATAATGTAAAGAACTTAAATGTCCCACAATATTCTTATATGGCAAAAAAAGACTACAAAAATATTTGCTTTTTGAAGACAGACATCTCAAAAGCAATACACAGTTTTCTGTTTAGATGTTTGATTATTCAACATAATACCTGTGGCTAAAGCTCTATTTTGAGGTCATCAGGTAATAAGAAAAGCTAAGACACATTACTTATTTATTATTTACAGAGTATCTGACCCACTTAATAGTTAGAGATATGCATGTAAGAAGAAATACAGAGGCAGGCTGAAAATCCTGAGGAGTAGCTTGCTTGATTTTACAGGGCCTATTTTGTCTGGCTTGCTTCGGAGGACCTTCAAATCAAAGCGCTGATACCAATAAATCATCTGACTTGTTTACACAGAGACCCTGATTCCAGTTTTTGTAACTCCATCCCCCTGGCAAGACCCTTCCTAGGGAAGCTTCTCTATTCACACTGTTAACCTTAGCACAGACCAGCACTTGACTGAGGAATGAGAACCAGCAGCCAGTACTTCTGCAAGAAACTGCTATTTTTAATTGAGCAAGTCTTAGGGAACTGATTTTTCCCTTTAAATACAGAGCTTATTAGATGAGATTATTCAAGTGGAATAAGCTGAGAAAATTAAGGGGAAATCCAGAGGGTCAGGAATGGCATGAACAGGATGGTTTTGACTTGTGACTCAAGACAGACACAGGTTCTACTAGGAAGCCGCAAAAAATACATAATAATAACCAAGTGGTACAGAAAAATATGTAATACTATTTCCTGGAAATTAATCTTATTTACAGAAAAGGGCCAAATATTAAACAAAAAGATAAAAATAAAGCTTTTCTGCTGGAGCCTAGCACTGAAAGATTAAAACAAACACTTTGAATTTCCCAGGGAAGAAAGATTTTGTACCTATTTGAAACTTCACATATAATTCAGGAGTCATTAAGCATCAACTAATTATGAAATAGTTATTTGAATGGACAGGGATCCTTAAATTCTATCCTTACAAAATCAAGCTGTGAAAAGAAAAGAGATGGAACTACAAAAAGCCCTGCAGTGTTATAAAGTTTACTTTTCAGATGATAAAATGCTTTATTTCTCCATTGGATAATTTTTAAAAATTAATTCCAGCCTCAAATCTGAATATAGATTACAAATCCACGTACTTAGTTCTGTTTCTCTAAAAGCCAACTTGCATTATATAGCACTTTTCCATCCAAATTGTCTTAACTTTGTCTTAATGTGCCAAAACCAAGAACTAATTTGACTCACTCATTTCTTTCCAGATTTATGATCAGTTCCCGTCTTTCCAGTTGTATTCGAACATTCAATACTTCTGGGTGATCCTGAAAGATAAACAAGGAGAAGTAGTTGAAACATTTGACTTTGGCTTCCAAATATCTGGATATGCTCCATAGGGATAGTCAACAGAGTGAGACAAAAACATTTTCTTCTAGAGAACATCCTGACACAACAAGTACAGGAGACCAGGGCAAGAGCTGGGGAATGTGATAGTGGTAATGACATGGTCTTTATGCTCTTTTCCTTCTACCATCTTCTGCACCCTTGGGACCAGCTCCACTCTAATACTCCTCCTCCATCCCTTACCCATCAGCTCTTTCCTTGGTCTTTTTTGTCTCCATTAAAGTCACCTTTATTTTCTGGCTCATGCCAGGCATCGGAAGTCATCCTTGAAGGCTTCCTCTCCCCTTGCCAATTCATCTGATCCGTGTAACAGTCCCGATCGGTCATCCTCTGAGACATGAGCACCACAGTCTAGGCCTCACATCCTTCCACCCTTCTTCAATTCAAACCACATTCTCTCACCTGCATTACTGCATAACCTTTCTTATCCAGATTCCTATCTTTGCTTTCTTCTTATTCCTTCTGCAGTGGCAATGGGAGGTTACCTTTAAAACACTTGATCAACCCATCCTTGCTTAAAAGTAGCATACACTGGCTTCTCACTGCACTGATAAGACACCAGTTCTCTACTGTGGCCCACAGTGTCCCATGTCTGTGGCCTGACCCTCATCAGCCTCCATAGCCAGCTACATTCTGCTCCCCTTACTTACCTGGGGCTGGCCAACCCGGCCTGGCCAGTTTCTCAGACACACTGAGCTGCCTTATATCTCTGAATCTCTGCTCATGCTGGGATTAGCTTGAAAGCCACCTATTAAAAGTAGCCTCAACTTAGCCCCCACCCTAACTTTGTACTCTGCCCTCTATTCTTTGTCCAGCCTCCTGTCCTTTCCTTCCAAGAAAGCACATCTGTCCTCCTTGTGATAATACAGTATGTCGATTTTTGCTTGTTTGTTATACTTTTGAAGTTGCTCAACAAATAACAGAAGTTCAATTAATACTGAGTGAATGAACAAATCAATTAGTAAACAGGGCAAACAGCTCTACCTGCCTCTTTCCCTTTTTGGTTGTCAGATGCCCCCGCTCTCTTCTCCTCTGAATTCCAAGAAAATCAATGTGTGTCCATTTTTGAGTGGGAAAGGGCATTTGTTTTTCTTTTGTCCCAGAAGCCCTGTGCTTCATGTCCTTCCCTAAGAATGTCTCCATGCAATAATACCCCTAAACCTCAGCCTCCATTCTCCCAGCCTTGGGACTGGGATACCCTACCCTCCCATGGAAACCAAGTCATTGACTTTGCACCGTCAGAAAGGACAAAATGAATTTTTTACCCCAATTTACTCTCTATAGGCCCTCTCTTGCTGCTTCTCTTTCAGTATGTCCTCAATGATTCTGGAGACTCAGGATCAAATATTCTCCCTTCTCTTTAGTAGGTCTTTCACATATCCTATGGGGCATTTCCCATGAAGAGAATTTAAAATCTTAAAGTATATTTCAGATAATTAATGCTTTTTTTCATGCTGGTGATGTTTGAACACTGTGAGCCCAGCACATCTAGGCATGGAGCCATTGCTTCCCAGTTCAGGGGTATTGCCCAGGCTGGTGTGCAAAGAACAGGAATGGTTTAATCATAAATGGCTCGGCCAGTCTGAGAAAGGACCAGAGGCCATCACAGCTGTCTATATAAAAGAAGGTTTCTTGGTAGCTTAAGACAAATGGAGGAGGAGGAGGTGGGTCATCTCAAAGAACAGGCAGACAAAACCAGTACAAGTGATGTTAGCTCTAATTTAACTGTTTTTGCACTAATAGATAAGCACTATAAGACTAAGAAGTCCCTGCATAGTTTTCTAATATTTTACATTTGAAGGCACAGTTCAAGATGTTTTAAAAAATATCACAAATGAACTAACCATGTGTTATCACATTTTAAGAGAAAATGAATTATAGATTCCAAATACCCAAAATTAAAATATTAGTTAAAATAAAATAAAAATTTTAAAGATCATAACAACTGAAAGGTCACAAGGGAAAAATGAGAAAACATCCGTTAATCAGGACATATTACAGCAGAGTCAAAAGCTCAAAGACTCTTTGCTCTATTTTAGGGTAATGTTAGTGAGATTTAAGTTAATTAAAATAAAATTGAAAAATCAGTTGCACTGGACCTATTTCAAGGCTCAACAGCCTCCTCCAGCTGGTGGACAGCGCAGATGTGGGACATGTAGGCAAGGTCTACTACTCAGCTCTGTATGAGCGATAATGACTTCAAACTGGTAGCGTCCAATTGTTGCTTAAGTAACAGATATTTTTTAAATGGGAGCCTCCAGGGAATGATAGCTGGTGTACACATAAGGACTTTGTAAATGCGCCTCGAGGAGGGTCTTCTGTATGATTATTATCACCCATACAGCTAGTATCTTCTATATAACTCTTCTCTGCATTATAACTATTTAAAGTAATATCCTTTAAACTGGAAAATGATATTATTTTAGAAAATTACTTCAGATTAAGAGTCAAACTGGTGAACTTTAAATGTATAAAATACATATTTTCTGGGTTTAAACAGGTTTTGTTTTTCATGGATTCATAGTAGCAAAATACTACACAAACCTGTCAATTTATATATTTTGACACCAATATTTATGATTGATTGGGTTTCTGAGTTTTTGATGAACTTTAAGAATTAATCGTTTTATTCAATCTTATGTAACATTAAATCTATACCACTTTTCACTTTTTTTTTGCATTGAATCCAAGGCCTCTGCATGGAGCTATGTTCTCATTCCTCTTCTGATTTTTTAATTTTTGAAACAGTGTCTCACTAAATTACCTAGGCTGGGCTCAGATTTGTAATTCTGCTATCTCAGCCTCCCAGAGTTCTAGGATTTCAGGTATACACCCATTCAACTAGCTCATGTCACTTCTTTCATATCTCAGTATATAAAAGTGTTCTGTTTCTGTGTCTTTCATAGGGACTTCTGCTTATATTTGCTTATATGACTTGGATTTAATTACAAATAGTTACACAATATTTTCTCCAGGGTTTACATTATGTACTCATTAATAATATCTTAGAAGAACAACATTATTAGTTATATTTACAATAAAATAATAAAACAAAAGTTTCAATATTCTGTCGATGTTTCCAAATATCATATGTAATATCTTTGTGTGTGTATTCTTAGGTGTTCTATATATGTATATATATAAATTTACTTAATTACCTTACAAATTATGTTTGCCTAAGATATTGATATACAGATCACCTTCTTAAGGAGACATCCCAACAACTGTATTTGTAAATAAAAATAAAGTGCTAGGGACGTAGCTCAGTGGTAGAGCATTTGCTTAGCAAGCATGAATAAGACAAAAACAAGGTTTAATCCTCACCTAATCAAGTAATAATAGCTATCTAGTGGCACCACTTTCCCCAAGAATTAAGCTAGTTTAAATTTCAACATTTGTACTAATTCTATATAAAATACCTACAAAGACTATTGTAACATTCCAGTGTTAACATTTTTTGAAAGAGTGTGTTTTCCCAGAGAGATGAAAAAATCCTTATGTGATGATACAGACAGTTCAGGAGACATCCAATGGGGAGACTAAAATAAAGAGCTGTGTTAACACCACTAATTGCACTAGACTTTGTAGTTCAAATACATGTATTCATTCCGTTTTCTTTTGATTGTTATCCATTGGAGATAATGAACTAGCATTGGTGAAACACAGTACTCCTTGCTATAAAAATCAAATACTGATTATGTTAATGGAACGAGTTTTGATGGATCTTTAGAGAACTACATTTGCTGAATAAATCAACTAAGTGCTAACCAACAGGCCAGAAATGTTTCAAGGGTAATTATAATGCTATCTGTTATTAGGAAACTATACTCAAACAAACATATAAAATATTTTAGTGTGATTTTTTAAAAAGCCAAGAAAATAATTACAACCAGCCTTCTGAAAAATGTATGCTATTGCTAGGCTCTTAAAAGATCCCTGAATTAGTTTTCTAGGACAGTCATAAGAAATGCTACAGATTGAGTTGCTCAACAGAGATTTATTGTCTCAGTGTACTGGCGGCTGAAATCCAAGCTCAGATCTGGTTTCCTCTGAGGCCGCTCCTTAGCTCTTAGGTGGCTGCCTTCTTGTTGTGTCCCCATGTGAACTTTTGAATGTCTGCATCCTAAACTTTTCTTATGAGGACACCAATCAAGTTGGACCAGGACCCACCCATATGACCTCATTTTACCTTAATTACCTCTTTAAAACTCCTCTCTCTAACATGATCACATTCTAAGGTGTTGGAGGTTTATGACTCCAAAATGCGAGAATTTGGATCTGTGGGATGCAGTTTAGGCCAGAACACACCTTCATACCACATTCCTTTTATTTCCGCCAGAGGTCCATTATCCTAACATTTCTGTTAATGATTATCATGACTTCATTTACAGTTTTATTGTTTACATATTTCTTAGCAACAGATTGCTTAATTTTACCCAGTTTTGAACATCATACATTTTCTGTCCTCCTATGACAACCGGTTTCTTTTACTTGGTCTTCTTCTATTTGTGGAGTCATCCATGCAGTTGGGTAGCTAGAGTCCCTTTATTTTCATAATTTTGTAATATTCTATTGCATGAGCAATTATATATCCACTCTGCATAAATTTGTGGATTTTGGGGGATATTTTTCTGATCACTGTCCTTACACAGCGGCGTGCCTACTGGACAGAAGTGATGTTCTTTGCTATGGAATCTTGGGGTCTTCATGCTGGGGTCTGCACATGTTTGCCTACTGGAGAGCTTTCCGTATTCTCCAAAGCACAAGTTATGTGCCCTGTTACTGGATAAATGTTCCATCACACCATAGCCTGATGAATATGTGGCAAAAATTTAAAGAGTGAAGCAAGACTGAGCTGATGAGTATACCATTTTATCTTACTGTAATTTTAATTTATATTTCCCTCATCAGGAGCAGAAAA